GCTGATTTATTCCCATAAGGTGATATTATTTTTTTATCAGTTGGAGGAGATGTTATTTTCATTGTGGACTCTGTCCCATCAAGCTAGGTGAGGACCAGTGTTCTGGATTTGTTCTCTCTCAGGCAAATCCATTTGTGTAGCACTTAATAATATAGTGTACTTCTGGCAAGGCATTTCTGAGCGCTGTTTACTTTTGGGTGTGCATCTGCAAGCAAAGCTTAAGCTGTTAAAAACTTCTGTGATCTGTGTCTTGCAGGAATGAATTCAAAATGTTGGGTGGGATTTCGTAGCTTTATAGGACCTTGCAAAATCTTCTGGTTGGCTTTAATTGACTATCATGCATTTCAGTCCATGATTGATACATGCTCTAGGGTTTTTTTTTTTATCTGGCAGATGTTGCCCAAATGTAGTTTAACTTTCCAGTTAGACTTCCTCCCTCTTCTGTTTGTTTTCTGGCAAATGCTTTAAAATATTAGCCTCTTGAAGGTATTTATGAAAAATCTGTTAGTTTTGCTTGGTGTGGAGTTGTGTCATTTTTAGGGAAGGTAGGTGGTGGAGATTAAATGGGACTGTTGATACTGCCTGGCTTTAGGCATACAACCTAGACTACATATTTCATGATCATAGGCAGTGGAGAGCTGCTGGACTAGGAGTCTACCTGCTGAATGGCTTCATTGCAGTGAACTGTCTGGAGGTCAATACCTCTGCCCATTGCGTAGCTTAACAGAGGCTGAGTACCATTTCCGTCCTCCTGCACGGTTAACTTGAAATAATCAGACTATTTTAAGGCTTTGAGGTGCGCAGCTCCAGCTGATGGCACTGAGTGCTCACCACTTGTGAAAATCCAGCCTGATAATTTCTAAAGCAAGCATCTAGAATAGTGTGGAACACAGGAAATAAAGGTGAGCCTACCTGTAGGCATCTACTTCTATTACTGAAAAGTATGCATAGTGTGTTTGCTGTCAGGATAAAAGTATGTTTGCAAAATGCTGGACACAAAGAAGCACAACTCCAGAGCCTCTTAAGTTTTCCTCTGACACTTAAGAGGTACTTGTGATACACTCATTTGGTAAAAGTGAATAACATATTTTTTGGGGGGCGTGGTGGTGGTGTGAGTATTGAAGTACTTGATCACATAATAGCATTTTACTGTCCCTACCTGGGAAATTGTCAGGGATATGAATCAAATAATAACTGACAACCAGGGATCTCTTGCACTGCCATTCACAACCAAACGGATTACTGGGATTCATGGGGATCTTTAGCTGTTGGTAATAACGAATGCTAATTAGCGGCGTAGCATTATACAGGCTGCCAAGTGAGGATCAGGAGCATATGTTTGCATGGCAGCTAACACATACTTTTTCTCACCCCTTCTCTAGATGCTGGCTCGGTAAGATACTGCTATTACAGCAATGTGGAAATAACTTTGTCCTCCATGCAGCAATTGAATGTACAACCTAAATCTTGGTAAGTAAGCATCTTTTTTTCCTGATAAGTTATTTAATATTGGAAATGAAGGGGAGTTGGGAGAGGGGGAATGTGTCTGCTAAATGGCAACTCTCTTGGCTTATTTTCATGGTGATGAGACTTAATGAACTACAGGAAGAGATCATAATTCTGTTGGCAGCAGTATAAGGGCAAAGCTAAAAATTGTCACATCTGATGATTATCTTCGGAGCAAGACATAAAAAAACATTAGGGATAGACATCTGGAACAGATGCAGGGAGATTACACTGATATTTCAGAATCATAAATTTCTCTCGAAGAGTACATAGAGAAAAGCTTCTTTTCAGTCAAGAGACAGTACATATTTTTATGACTGAACCACCAAGTACTTTGCATCGGGATCTCTTTGGCATACCTTTTTGAAAGGTATTTGTAAAAAGTCATGAAAGCAGTTTGTGCAGAAGGCCAGCTACATTACAAAGTCAAGTAAGGTCAGAGTTGTCAAAGGATAAAGAAATATAGAATATATAATAATGCAGCAATGGTTCGTGAAGTGATTAATTTGTATTTTATTTTCCCCAAAGTGTCTTTACCGAAGTCTTATAAAATGCTCACTTTTTAAATACAGTTCGGTCTTGATTTTTCAGGGAGTTTAACCTGGGAGTAACCAACCCATTCATAGAAGCTAATATATACAAGAGGTGAAATCCTGTCTCCTCTGAAGTCAAGGACAAAACTCCCATTAACTTCAATGGGGCCAGGATTTCATTTACTATGTTGCCCAGTAGACCAGTGTGGAACAAAACTACTTGCCTTAGGGATTTTTAATATGCAGGCTGACTCAGATGAACAAAAAATACTTTACTTGTCTGACATTCAGGTAAAATCACAAATGTACTGAACTTTCTTTTGCCATCTGCCTTCTGAATATTTGTTAAGGTTATGTGAAATACGTTCTGCTCTTGGTTGTGCTGGCTAAAATAGGAGGAAAAAATGGGCCTGAAAATCTTTGAAAATCAGATAATTGCTAGTGAAAATTTGCTGAGAAAATGGTTGTATTTTTTTCCTCCAGTTATCTTTCTTTTATGTAGAGAAAAACAGGTAGTAAACCAATCTCTATATACTTTTGGCTTCCTTTTTTTTTTAAGCAAAGAGAAACCAGATGCCCAGGAAAGACAGCAAAATAGCTGAAGGTAGGAATTCAAAGATGAGAGTAGGACAGGAAGAATATATTTCTCCAGAATCTACTACCATATCCAATTTTGCTTAGTATAATTTCTTGCAATGTTTTCTTTGAGTTATGTTTATCCTTTTTTGTAGCGGGTCTAATTAGCCTAAAGTCCCCTGAAGCCTTCTCCAGCAACAGGCCATACTTGCTGGGTGGCTCCTGCTCAGAGTAGCCAACAAAGCCTTCTTGACTCTGGCATGTGTTTCTACTTTAGAACTTGAAAACTTAACCAATGGGTCCCCTTCACTCTGTCTGGGACTGAACAACAGTGTGGCTTAGATACATAGGCCAGTGGGGTTGACCTTAGCATACTCTGAACTTGGCTAAAACCAGGAGCATGCCCAGAGCTCTGTTTTAGTGAAGCTGTTTGTAGCAGTTTTCTTGCATGTTTTCATAAGCCAAGTAACTAATGGTTAGAGTATTGTGCTTTATACTGGGCTAGCCTGTATTCACATCCCCACAAACCACGTAGATGCTGCTAGCAGACCCCAGGCTTTGTGACTCCAGGAAGGACTGCATCCAAAATATTGCTTTAGCATACCTATGTTAGATCATCAGTTGCAGACAGTTAATGAACACAACACTGTGTTAACAGGGGTGCTTTAAGGACTACAGAGGTCAGTTTTTGACAGTTTAATTTTCCTAGCCCACAGATAGCCACCACGCCTGGTTCACTCAGGGGCTAAATCCTGCTCCTGTGTGCAGGGCTTCTTGTTTATAATGTCTCTCAACAGACTCATCATCCTGCTAAGATCATTATGGAGAGTGGAATTGGTTCTGAGTGCCAACCACTGCTTTCATTGCTTCAACTGGCCTTAATCACTTTCTCTATGTGATATCCAGATAATCAGAGGAAGAGATTATCAGCCACTTTTATTAGCCAGAGAAGTCAGAGGGATTTTACCAGGAAAAACATCCAAGTTCACTACAAGAATACATAAAATAAACTAAGATACTTTCTTCACTTGAATGTGCCCCTTGCTCAAGCTTGCCTAACAGATCCTTGGCAGTAAACCAAGGCTTCGGCCTGCCTGCATAAGACACTCTTCTCTGCTTAAACTAAACTAATTATTGCTAGACTGTGGTGACACTGAATGCAAACACTGGAAACAATTTCAGCCTCTAGGGTAGCTTTGGATGCCTATTTTAAACCAAGGTTTAAATCATTGATTTAAATCGAGGTTTAAACTAAGATTTCTACTAGTAGATAGCACCAGTCTAACTACATGGATTTTGCAACAGGAGAGCAACTCTTTGTAGCTGACCCCTTTTTCCTAAGCTCCTTCAGATATTTATCTGTTCTTAATTTGGCACATCTGAGCATGTTGTGCCATGACTAAGTGGATGCACATCCTGAAAAGGAACACATTTTGGTACATGAGTTTTGTGGTTTACCTTGAAAGAAAACAATCCCTTCACTTGCAGCAAAAAGCTCTTTCACTACCAGGCTCCTGGAGTCCTAGAGGCCATTGTTATGAAAAATTGCTACTTAAATAAACAGACATAGAATCATAGAATTGTAGAATGGCTTAGGTTGGAAGGGACCTTGAAGATCATTGAGTTCCAACCCCCCTGCCATAGACAGGGACACCTCCCACTAGACCAGGTTGCCCAAGGCCACGTCCAGCGTGGCCTTGAACGTCGCCAGCGATGGGGCCTCAACAGCCTCTCTGGGCAACTTGTTCCAGTGCCTCACCACCCTCAGAGTGAAAAATTTCTTCCTCATGTTTAATGTAAACCTGCCTTCTTCCAGTTTAAAGCCATTCCCCCTCGTCCTGTCACTATGTGACCTAGTAAAAAGCCCTTCCCCAGCTCTCCTGTAGGCCCCCTTTAGGTACTGGAAGGCCGCAATAAGATCTCCCCAGAGCCTTTGCTTCTCCAGGCTGAACAGCCCCAACTCTTTCAGCCTCTCCTCATAGGAGAGGGGCTCCAGCCCTCGGATCATCCTCGTGGCTCTCCTCTGGATGTGCTCCAGCAGGTCCATGTCCTTCTTATGTTGGGGACTCCAGAGCTGGACGCAGTACTGCAGGTGGGGTCTCACCAGAGTAGAGTAGAGGGGCAGAATCACCTCCCTTGACCTGCTGGCCACGCTTCTTCTGATGCAGCCCAGGATACGGTTGGCCTTCTGGGCTGCGATCGCACATTGCTGGCTCATGCTGAGCTTCTGGTCAATCAGCACACCCAGGTCCTTCTCCTCAGGGCTGCTCTCCAGCCATTCCCCGCTGAGCCTGTATTTGTGCTTGGGATTGCCCCAACCCACATGTTTTATGGCAATTCCTTCCCCAATCCCATTAACCTTTTTCATTAGAGGAGTGACAGTACCTGCTCTGGAGTTTTCTGAGAAAGAATAGCCATTGAACCGCCTACCCCTTCAGCAGGGTAGTCAGGAAACTTGCCTATGATATGCCTGTGTGAGAAACAGGATAGAAAAGGAATTAAAATCCATGATTTTTCGTCTGGTTGACAAAGATGCTAGATGGTGAGCAAGCGTACCCTCCTTCACCTCCTATAGAAAAGCAGAATGCTGGATTGTTTCCTATGACGGTGGCTTTTTGTCCAAGAAATTCATTAAAACAGTTATCAGCCTCTCTCTTGTCCTGTGGCCTATCAAATATTGAAAGTTCTTAAGGAATTTCTTAAGACTGCACATCACTTCATAGCTGAGAGATTTAGCTTAAAGTGTTTATGTTTATAGCTCTGATCTCTGTTTTCAACACCCATCATTAAAAAAAATAAATTATTTAAATCAGTTTTTGGTCTACAAATCCCTGATTCTATTTTTGTTTAAGGATCTCCACCTTCAAAATTTTCCAATGTACTTGCACAATTGGGTGGCGATGGAAGCTGGGGAGGGGGGAATTAAGGGCTTTGTGGTAAGATATGATGGATGACAAAGATAATCTTTCTGAAATGTCTGGAAGCCCCCTATGTTAAAAGATATAAATAACCACTACAGTCCAAAGGTCATTTATATTGATAAGACACTCACTTCTTTCACTTTCGTAGCTTTTTGGATTCTATCAGAAAGATTCTTCTGTTTGTTTGGTAATATCAGGAAGATTTTCTGTTCCAAATAAAATTCTAATACTGCAGAAAAATACTTGTGCTACTTTCAAACAGAATGGTAACCTTCCCTCTAAATGAAATTTCCCTTGATGAGAAAATAGCTCAGAAAGGTCAATGTGATTCATAAAAATTGCTTTAATTTTTTTAAAACAACTGCTACCTTCAGGGATTTTCCTAGTCTACTGTTAAGCAGTAGACTCAATTTTAAACTGAGAACCTTGGAACAGAGCATCAGTTATGTTTCTATAATACCATGTGTGCGGTTTGGATCCCCGGTTAGTATTAATGTAATACAAAATAAAAAAGAATAAACAAACATTTGTCTGTGATTGTAAGCTCTGACTTGCATGTTCAACAATTACTAGTTCTATATGCAAACAGATGCAAGGCTTTGGTCACTGCATTCCCAGAAACCAGTTTGCATGAACAAAGGGATGTCATTGCATTGTGGTTTAATCCCAGCCAAGCAGCTAGAACCACACAGCCGCTTTCTCACTCCCTGCAGTTCGGATAGGGGAGAGAATTGGAAAAGCAAAAGTGAGGAAAAACTTCTGGGTTGAGGTAAAGACAATTTGATAGGTAAAGGAAAAGCCACGCAAGCAAAGCAAAACAAGAAATTAATCCACTGCTTCGCATTGGCAGGCACGTGTTCAGGGCTCCATCATGCCTAACAGTTACTTGGGAAGACAAATTCCATAACTCTGTTCCCTCCCTTCCTCCTTCTCCTCCCAGCTTTATATGCCGAACATGATGTCACACTGTATGGCATATCCCTTTGGTCAGCTGTGGTCAGCTGTGTCCCCTCCTAACTTCTTGTGCACCCCCAGCCTACTTGCTGGTGGGGCGGTGTGAGGAGCAGAAAAGGCCTTGACTGCTTAGGAACAACGGAACACATCAGTGTTTTACCAATGCTATTTTCATCCAAATTCAAAACATAGCACTATACTAGCTGCTAGTAAGAAAGTTTACTCTATCCCAGCTGAAACCATGACACATTTTTAGTGTATTTTTTTTTTAATCTAGTAAGAATGGGGGTTTGGCCCCAGAAACCTGCATGATCTAGTTTATTTAATGATAGATCATATTTCATTTTTTACACACAGCAGAAAATAGCTCCATTTTATGTTAAATGCAATCTTGTTTTAAATGCTGCTACAAGTCTGGCTTACAGCAACAAATTTCTCAAAATCTCATATTAAGGCTGTTGCTACTTTACTAATGCTAGCTGGGAGGAAGGAAAGACAATATGCACTGCAGGTGAAGAATCAGTTTGGAGTCCACTACCCACTGAATGCAGTATCAGTGCCAGCTTTCAATATTTAGTAGTGTTACATTTGGTATTTGTATTAGCTTTTCACTTTTAAATCATTTACAGCTCTTGGAGATGGAAGTTATTTACCCTTTGGATATATATGATAAGTGTATATCTGAGCACTGCAGGAATTCTATCAAATTCTTAAATTTGGAAGTGGGTTCCAGTTTGTTTATAATCTGTGTTTTCTGCATGATTCTTCTGCTCACAGCTGGTGCAGCTGTTTGGGATGACATGGCTCATCCCATCTTTTTGTAGCAGCTACAGCAAGGGCTTATGTTGAAAAACAGCTTGAGGTGAAGAGAAGGTAATGCCAGTCTCTTTGCACAAGTGGAAGAAAAGTGTCAGCCATTTACTAACCAGTCAGCTGTCCGGGGACTGGGTCTTCGGTTGAGGGCAATGCAGAATGTAAGTTCCCATGGCCACCAGTGACCCTGAGAGCAGACAGCTACCACAGGTTTCAGTTGAGTTAATTCTTCAGGGACACCTGTTTTTTTGTTTCTGGACTTCATCCTTTCCTGTGTACTGTTGTTTAGCATATCAATTGCTCTCCGATGGTCAGGGAGCAGTATTCTTATGTCTCATTTCTTTATCTGACCTCTTGTGGATTTTCCTCTTTCTCTTCTAGGTTTAAATGACTACAATTTCAATCTTGTAATGCCTGGAAAGTGTGCATATGCATGACCCTTATAGACAAATTCCTCTCTTTATGAAACCCTCTGAGTTCAGAGGTTAAACCATTTGGCCTGTAAATCTGCACAGAAAAATGCAGTCATTGATCTTCCTGGTCAAAAGTCCACTTTAAATGTAATGAATCTCCATTTTCATTCCTCATTCATTTTTTGGCAGCATTCTACTCAGAGACATCACAAAGGGTTGTCTCACGCATTTGTCATAAGATGCTAATTTGGATTCAACTGGACCCAAACTATTTTGTATAAGTTTGTTTTATAGCTGTTGATAATGACAAAACATCAGGATAAAAAGAGCAGCAAGCATGCACTCATGAGCAGCCAAGGGTACTCCTATATCTTTGTTCAATCAGATATTTTACACGTCATCTGTGGCTTCAGAGAGTTCCACAAGGCATGTCCCGTGTTGAACAGGGAACAGATCCTGAATTAGGAGGATTTTCCAAGCACATAGAATGATTTTGAGCTTGCTTTACAGTTCAAATCTGTTCAAATAATTTTAAACTGCCTTTTGCTTTTGAAACTTCCTAGAAACAATGAAGTATTTGTGATTAGAGCCAGTTCTAAGGCAATAATACTAATGAAAATTAATCCAGATGATGTAAGGACTTGCTCCGAACTCAAGCCTAGCACGCTGTTTTGTTTTGCTGGACATGTAGAGGAGAGCTTTATGGTTGAAACCTTTGGTTCCACCTGTGTGGCACCAATGGCACAACTATGCTGTAAACCACGACTTACAGAAGGTGGAGCTGCAGAAGTTCTCACAGTCAGCAACTAGCCTGAAAATTAACTGGGAAGTAGAAGAGCGTTATACCTGCACCTGTGGTGTTTGTTGACTCCAAAAGCTGAGCTGCAAATACAGTCACTGTAAGTCTTTAGCTCATTAGCAATCACTGGGTGTGAACTTCAGGCTGGTGTTTGTTATTTAGATTGTTCTCTTGGTTGCATGGAAAAAGAAAACTACTTGGTCTACATTTTCTCTAATCTGCCCAGCACTTATTTTCTATGTTCACAGTACCTTAACGCGCCCTGATGCTTTCTCTGCATGTCACTGAAAAGGGAGCACCACGCAAAAACTAAACTGGTGGACAGGAAAGTCTAAAAGTCTTGCTGCATGTTGACGGGGAGAGGAGACTGTAAAAAGCTTAAGCTCTTGAGAAGTAGAGTATTGGAGTGTGTAATATATTTGAGAGACATGGTACATGTCAGAAACACCTGGTTCCGAGGCAAGTTAAAACTCAATGAATCTGTTACTTATTATTGTCTCAATGTTTGCAGGGAAAAAATATCAAATTGTGCTTTTCCAGCATCTCATAAAAATGTGCAAATGCCAGAATTGGAAGAAGCAACTTTTATTTTCAACACGCTTGCTTCAGTGGGAGTGCTGACAATGTGTTAAGGACTGCAAGCGAAAGCAGAAGCGAATTCTATTGGATTTCATATGGAGGATGCAGTTCTAATAAAACTGTTTGCCTAAACGAACAAATGAAATTTGTAAAAAGTATGGCTGCTTGGTAGGACTGGACTCGGTGGCTGCATGGAAGCAAGTAAGGTGAGATGGAAGGTTAGGGCTAGGAAGAAACCTCCACCTTGTGAGACAAACTTCAGCAGTAGCCTAGGGAAGTCCTCATAGACTAAGGACCCCAAAGCCTGCCACTTCCCAGTCTGCAGGCAAAGAGCTGAGGATGGTTCTTGTTGGTGACCTGCTCTCCATTGTGTATTCACAGGCTGCTGAACAGAAAGTTGTGTTTGGGAGCTTTGCTTGCACTGCTGCAAATCAAACTGATGAGTGCCAGAGTTTGTGGTAGGCAAAATATCTTTCTTTGGGTGAGAGCCACTGCCTTAACAGAACTACTAAATATTTCTGTGCTGCAGAGGACATTGCTGAAGAAGGGATCTTTAGAAACTGTGGTGTGTGAGAAATCCATTACTTTTCTGGAAAGCAGTGAAATCCTGTCAACGGAAGCACAGCATAGGTTTGGTAAACAACTTCACAGAAAAGCCATCTTATTGGAATGAATGGGGGCCCTAAATCTGAATCAAACCAGCTCAACCGGAAGAGTAAGGGGATGAACAAAGATGGAGGAGTGAAAAGAGACGATCTTCCACTCCCAGCTAAGAAAGAAAAGGATGTGATGAGATTTTTGCACTGTTTCTTAAGTTACATTCTGTTCTCTGGTTCACTGTTACTGCTCTCCCCCTTTCCAAACGTATTCTTCTAATAACTTAGATCTGTCAAGTGTAATTGAAAAAGAATGATCTTTTACGGTCTGCAACGCAAACCCTTTTGTCTCTGAACATGTAGCATAGACTTATGGCTCTTATGGGCTCAATTTT